TACGTCGCATGGCGGCGACGTGGCCAGGGGTGTGACATCTAAGCCCAAGAGCAACAGAGAGTATTAAAAGAGAATGTAGTCTTGATCTCTTCCCTAAACAGATTTTAGTCTTAGAACTTATAAAATATGGATACACTGAATGGGAAGAGATAATGTAATTCATCTCAAACAATAAGAGTGGGTTTGTATCAGGAACTAAGAATTACAGTAAGAAAACTTATGGAGAAGGTTCAAAAACATAATTATGTTGCTTCATCTCCACCTTCTGAACCAACTCAAATGCAAAGAAGAAGAAGGAAAAGGTTTGAGGAAGAAGATATAAGTGGTCTAACTCCATTTGGATCTACACTTATCAACAACAACTTGTCTCTTAATGTTTTCCCTAAATGATATAAGTCTATTGGTGGGCCAATCTATGAGGTATTCTATTAAGACAATAATGGTAAGATGTATTTTCAAAAGCAAAAAGACTTGCACATACCGCCAACACATCACTTAGTTTGTCTGAGAGATCTAATCAAAGGTAAATAGGTTGCAAGAAACTATCATGTCATCTTGTCGGCGAAACTCAACAAAAGAAAATAAGAGCTGCTGAATAACTTTGCTTTTGTTAAACCTAAGATTATGAGTGAAGCTACAGAATATGAGAACAGGACTGCCCAACTCTTCACTAGTTTTGTATTTCTTTTATCTATACTTAATACTATGCATTCTATAAAGAGTTTTCTTATAGTATAGTTATTTTTTACATCATGAAATAGGGGGAGATTTTTATGGCCCTTATGATTTTTTGTATCAAAAGTTGTCTCTCAGCAGATGTTGCCACTGATCGACATCACGTTGTGTATCCACTGATGTCATCAGGAACCTTCATGAAGATCCGGAAGTAGATGAAACCATCCACTTGAAGATAGTCTTTCCTTATTCAGATAAGGATCGCATTAAATAAGGGTTTCCATATAATAGAAGACTCCTACTTTGTATGGGATTAGGTTTCCTTTTGTACCTATTTTGTATGTTAAGATAGGTTTCTATACTTTTGTTATATACCTCATTACCCTCTTGTGTAAAGTGTTATTGATCAAGATTGTGTATGTAATCAGAGTCTATTCTCTGATTACCTCTTGGTTTACGAAACTGGTCTTTCAATAAAGTTTGGTATCAAATTATTCTCTTTTTTCCTATTATTGCTTAATATTCTTGGTGAATCTGTTGTTGATGGACCAAAAAATTATTTATTTCAATATAAATATATAAAATATGGGTATTTTCGTCAAAACCGATAGAACAATTGACGTACTTCCACGCATGTAATTTGAAGGATACCCATGGGACTTAATTCCTTCCGCTTGCAACCAAACGCGCCATCGAATGAAATTTACGATTCCAACAAATTTGTTCAAAGTTCGCAAACTAAACACACCTTTAGGGTTTATTGAAACACTAACTTCCACTTCTATATACACTTGTGAGGATCCAAATGTCTAATATACCAAGGTACCAATTTAGAACATCTACAACAAGAGAAGTTATCAGTGGAGATTTTTCATGAAAAAGTTCAAAGGAAAAAAGCTCATTGTATCCCCAACAATAGGATAAAATTTTCCAAATCCTTTTAGGCCCGGTTTTGAGCAGGGGCCGCGTGGGAAAGGATAGTCATATTAGTAGTCGGCACAAGCGAAAGGTGTGTTTAGTTTGGATAGTCATATTAGTAGTCCACACGCGAAAGGGAAGGCAGTCGGCAGAAGCGAGCAGGCAAGAAGCAGTCATTCAACGAGAAGGCAAGAAACTATCATTCAATTGATTACCAGTGGTCTGTCGTCCACTCCTTATTCCTATCAAGTTATTAGGAAATCGTTTATTCTTGTCTTTATGTTATCATATTATCATAAATTGAATGTATTTATGTGATCAAAATTCAGTAATTGAATGAATCAGATTATCAGAAATTCCACCGATGAGATTATAGATTATTAGAAACTGAATACTTGAAGTTAAGTGGTAGCTTTTCATGTTTTTTTTTGAAGTTCTATTATTGGACTAGGTTATATTGATTTCCATGTTAACTGGTTTTTTTAGTTCTATTGTTGGACTAGGTTATATTGATTTCCATGTTTTTTGAAGTTAAGTGGTAGCTTTGCAAGAAACTGAAGTTACTTTTGAGGAATCTACAAACAAAGATGAATGAAAAGAAACAAAATATGTAGGTGGAAGATGGATTATTGAATATCGGATTCTCAAATTCTTGATGTGTTTTTAAATGATGAAATGTTATAAATTTTATGAAAAATGTTATTTTGATAACATATGAACTATCAAGTATCATAAAATCTTGAATTTAGAGAAAAGAATATGCTCAGTTGAGGGTAGTTGAGGGTATTATTTTTTTGTTAGTCTCATATTCATATTTTGATTTTATTTGTCTATACCATTTGTCATTTGTAATTTTTATTTTGTGGGTCCTATATGATAATTCTTAGTATTGTCGTATATGTTAGGTTTTCATAAACCATGAGATGCTATCATCCAAAACATAAGTAGCTTCGAAGATTGATGTATTACATTTGACATCATGATAATTATATGTTATATCATAAAGATGTTATGGTTATTCTGAGATAATGAAAGATACAATACCTTGAGATGTCCTTTTACTCTAATCTTATATGCATCATGGGCAATAATGTAATTTTAAACCATTTTAATCCTCATTTCCTAACAAGTGCAGACTTTAGATATAAGGATCATATGGTTACATGTGCAACTAGCCTCATAGCCTCATACGACTTACTATACAATACCCAACATGACAACATCTATCTTCCCATGTTAGTCATCTCCAAAAGATATATACATGTATCATACTAACACTTGTGAGACATCGACATTACAAACTACGATTTTACTATGTTTATTGCTATAAATTTTATTGTCGTTTTAAAAAAAAATTGTTATATAATTTAATTCGTTACACGTTAGGGTCTAAGGGGCTTTTTTCGGCTCATCCTGGGAATTTGAATCCTCAAGAGGACCGGCATTGATTCCTTTTATGGGATTTTTTATATAATGTTAATTAGTTACAATTGCTTGAAAAAATATCAGACTCGGACAATCATTGAAAACTTATAAGAGGAGCTTCTCAATTAGCAAGAAACTTTAAAAAACATTGATTTTGAAAACCTTCCCTTATAGCTTTTTCAATTTTCAAAATCTTTTTGGTATGAAAAAGCTATGAAAAATTTCCTACTATGAAAAATTTCCTACTATGGATTTAAAAATTTTCCTACTATGAGAAAACTTTAAAAATTGAAAAAGGTCGTCCTGGGCATTTGAATCCTCAGGAGGACCGGCCTTGATTCCTTTTATGGGATGTTTTTGTATAATGTTAATTAGTTACAATTGCTTGAAAAAATATAGGACCCGGACAATCATTGAAAACTTATAAGAGGAGCTTCTCAATTAACAAGAAACTTTAAAAAACATTGATTTCGAAAAGCTTCCCTTATAGCTTTTTTCAATTTTCAAAAGCTTTTTAGTATGAGAAAGCTATGAAAAATTTCCTACTATGGATACTCTTTAGAAATTTGGGTTTACTATTTCAGCATTCATGTATTGAAAGTTCATATATAAGCATGAGAATTTACATACATCATCATCATTATCATCCTTCTATTAGGACGAGTAGTACCACCTTCTTTATTTATATATAGCTTCATCCCACCGAAGGGTGTAGTTACATCAATATTCCCGTTCATAGAGTATCTCTGGTCCTTTTCCTCTAATCATATCTTAGAAAGTCCCAAGTCTTTAGACCTAAACGTGATCGAAACATCAAGATAAGTAATATAATTCTTGTGTAATTTTATGAGTTTTAGCTAGATGAGCACACAAAATGATCACATCACACAACCACACCTCATAATCAAGTGCATTGGGTCCCGAATGAAAGTCATTCTTGTTTTCCAACTTCAAACAAAGAGTTGCAACAATTTCTTCAAAGGAGAATTCCACAAACTTAATCTTATCAATATCAACATCGAGTTAATAAGGTATTGAGATCTTCAATTTGTGTGATGCAGGGACAGAGACGGTCAACCACTTACTTTTTTTAATGTTTTGTTGTCATTGGTGCTCCTTTGGTTCATGTTGCGAGGTGGTGTGGCTTTTATATGCCCTTGCTTTTTTTCTTATGCGGATCGACTAATTTGGTTCTCTTCTCTTCGTTTGTAGAGTAGAGTGAAAAAACAGTTAGCTTGTGTTTCCTTTATGGTGGCGTATATGGCGTTGAGGAATACTCCATTGTTTGGTACTTCCCAACCAATAATACTCCCTCTGTCCCAAAATTATAGTTCATCTTTCCTTTTTTGTTTGTCCCAAAATAATAGTCCACTTTTAAAAATAAATAACATTTTTACCAAAATATCCCCTCATTATTACTTAACCAACTAAGCATTTAATGAAACATTAAATGCAAAGTAAGGACAAAACTGTCATTTTATTGTACAAAATTAGTGGTAATTAATTTTTCTGTGGACAATAATTTTGGGACGGAGATAGTATATCTAATAGGTGTAGCAAGGCTTGTCGATTGGTACTTCCTTTGTTGGGTGTACTGAGTTGATTGAGGTTTGGAAGCGCATTGCTACTTGGTGAAATGTTCAGTGCCCAACTCAGTTTTCTATGCAGTCTCTTGATTGGTCGGATACGATCAACCTAAGGAGTAGTCAAAGGAATGTTTTTGATGTGGTGATCATAACAACTTATTGGTGCTTGTGGAATTTTCAAAATTCCACTGTTTTTTGAAGTGTTATTCCTAGGAAATTTTACATTTTTTATGATATTATGCATAGGTCCTATTTTTGGATTTCTAATAGGTGTAGCAAAGGTCTTATTTTTGGATTTCTAATAGGTGTAGCAAGGCTAAGATATGATGGACTTTATGGTTACATAATCCTACTTTGCTTCTATTCCATTGTCAGTTTGTAATAAATTAATTTGAGCAATCATATTCGGTAATCAAATAAGAGCACGTGTAGATCCAAACTGTAACAATATATTAACTCTATAATATGATGTTTGCAACATATTATCCATATCAAATTCTCTTAGACACAACCGCTGAATAGATTCAGATATAATTAATTAACACAAACATTGCAGATAAACATGACTCATGATACCACCCCTTTATGCTCCTGATTCTCTACTCCTGCATATATGCACGAGATGAATCGAAGACTTAACCGGTAAAATATTATGAAGTATGCAAACTAGATTTACTTTTTTTTTTTATGTATATCCAACTTTTTAAAGAAATTTATCCTTAGGGCTTCGAGTTCTATGTTTGGATTTCTTAAATTGGACTTATAGCTTTTTCAATTTTCAAAAGCTTTTTGGTTCGAATTTCAAAAAGTGGTTATTATCTTAAAAGACATTATATTTTCTGTATTTTCCGGATTAAACCTCAACTTTATTTTTTTTTCTTAAAAAAGGCCTTGTATTTTTTCACTTTTTCTGAAAAAACCCTCAACTTTTCTTTTTTTTCTGAAAAAAACCCTAAGCCTTTTAACTATTTCAGAAAAAACCCTTAACTTTTTTAGTTTTTTTCGAAAAAAACCTTCACGTTTTACAAGTTTTTCCAGGAAAAAATGACTACTAAGGGCTAGATCGGAAAAAATAAAAAATGCAAGGTCCTTTTTCGAAAAAAGAATTGAGGTTTAATCCCAAAAAAACAAAAAAATATAAGCTCTTTTATGAGATTAAGCTATGAAAAAACTCCTACTGTGGATGTAATTTTAGAAATTTGGGTTATATTATTGGGATAATGACATAAAAAAGGGAAATTGTCAAAAAAATCTCAATATTTTCAGAAAAGTTATACTTTAGTTCCAATTTTTTTTTTAACATAAAAGTCTCGATTATTTTTGGTTCAAATTAACAAAAAAGATCTTTTTTATTTTAACAGGAAATGACATATTATCATGTAAAATCAAATTATCAAGACTTTTCTGTTCAAAAAAAATTTTGGGACTAAAGTGTAACTTTTCCGAAAATATTGGGCTTTTCTGACAATTTCCCACATAAAAACCCTCAAATTTTTGTCAGTTTTACCCTTTTGTGGATTTTAGGTTTCATTAAAACCGGATGTTTGCAAAAAAAAAAAGTAAAAAAATAAATAAATTACCCTCTGGTTTATTAAAGCCCTTACGTTTAGCCGAAATGTTCGGTTTTACCCTTTTTTCTAGTTAATAAAAGCCCTTAAGTTTGATTTTCTGGTTCATTAAAGCCCTTAAGTTTGGCAGAAATTTTCAGTTTTTACCGAATAAATTTGCAAAAAAGGGTCAAATTAAATAAAATGAAAAAAAAAAGTTGCAAATTTGAGGCATTAATGGACCTAAAATACAACTTTGGGTAAAACCGACAAAAACTAGCAAACTTAAAGGTTTTATGGCATTTGCTCTATATTGTTTTAGCAATTATGTATTGTAAATTCATATGTAAGCAAGAGAATTCACATACCTCATCATCATCATCATCATCACCCTTCTTCTTAAGCCGAGTAGTACCACCTTCTTTCTTTATAGGCAGCTTCATCTCACCAAAAGGTGTACTTACATCAATGTTCCCTTTCATTGAATACCCAGTCCCTTTTCCTCTAATCATATCCCAAATAGCAGAACCCAAATCTTTAGGCCTAAAAGTAATCGGAACATCAAGATAAGTAATCCCATTCTTTTCAATCTTCTGAGTTTTCGCCAGCTCAGCACCTCCAATGCTCTCACCACACAACCACACCTCATAATCAAGCGCATTCAAACCCAAATCAAAGTCATTCTTGTTTTCCAGCTTCAAATGAAGAGTAGCAACAGTTTCTTCAAAGGAGAATTTCTCAAATTTGATTTTATCAATATCAACATCGGGTTTATAAGGTATTGGGATCTCCCCTTTTTTCTCAAGAGGAATAGTGATTCTTCCGAAAACAGGGACATCAACGATTAGGTCAACTTTGATTTTGTAAGGTATGATGCTTCCAGGTTGAATTTCTTCATATGTGTTCTTGATGTCATCGTAGATTAAACAGAGTGGGATTTGGACTGTTTCTGATCCATGTGCACGGATTGTCCCAGCATCAGGGATTAATCCAGAGATTAGTTTTCTTCCATCACTTTCGATTAAGTAGTTGATGTCGATCAAAGGGATTGGAATGGGGTTAGGGTTTGTGACAAGAATATCGACAATAAGATCACATTGTTTGAGGTTGATTTTGGGGACATGAATTGCAGAAACATCTGCAGTTGGTTTTCCGAATCCTATTGTCTCTTCAATCTTTTCCCCGATATCTTGGATGAATTCCTTTACTTTGTCTAGGAATCCAGAATTCTCTTCGCCTTCTTCTTTTTCATTCTTCTTAGCACCTCGTTCGATTATCTCTGGTTTATCGTCTGATGACATACCTAAAATAACAAAAGACTAAGTATGACCAAAATTCCAACGAATATAATGCAGAACAACAACTTGCTTACAACAATTTGTGATTTTATGTTCTTATACTTTTGAAATATATCATACCAATCGATTAAATTCATAGAAAAAGTCAAAGCGAAAATAGAAATACTAGCAAACAAGTTGACTATGGAACTTCAACAAAAATTCATCTTCATCCTTCAGCCGTTTGGCAATCGGATAGGTATCGACCATAGCTTTAACGTTCACTATAGTGTTGAAAAGATTACAGAGTGAGAGATCGAATCAAAGCAAAACAAGAAAATTTTGACTAGATTGGGTGAAATGACTTCACGAGAGTCCACAGATTTGGATTCAGCTCATAAAAAATAAGTAATTAAAACTGCAACTAAAGATCGGGAACTTATTTTCGCATCAAAATTACCGATTGCTCAAACAAGTAACAAATTATAATAAGAAACAGTACCTGCAGTTTCTTTGTTAATCGTGAAATTGAACTTGAATCTGCAACGATCGGAGGTGATTACAATAAGTATAAGAATTAAAACGCTAATCTAGATCGGAACAAGTTGTGTAGATCTAAAATGTATGTTTGATGAAAGTAACGAGAGGTGAGAGAGAGAGAGAGGCACCTGTTGTATGAAGATCTCAACTGTGTGTTTGTGTGTGTCTGAACTTTTTATGATAGTCCCGCCTTAAATACATCAGTCCACCGTCCATCTGATCACAATTTACACGCTTAATCCACGGCTATTTTAATTATTTTTTTTTCTTCGATTTTTAGAATAAATTGGAAAAATAATCTGTCATTTAGCAAGAATTCTTTTTAATATTTCTTTAAACATTTGTGTAATAAGTTTATTATTTTGTTGTTTTGATCTATTTTTAGTCGTATATCATTATTTATATTTATTGGGAACTAACTTATTAAACTATTCCTATCGGTGAGGATGAGGATTGATTAATTAATTAATATAACAAAGATTATAAATTGTTTTTTTTTTTATAAATTTGAGACAAATATATTCTTTTTAAATGCAATAACCCTTTTATATTACCTTAAAGAACGATGGACACCTTTAATACTTTATCATATGTTATCAAAGTTGTGAAGATGACATGTATGAGAAACCTATTTTCATTATATAATGGATACCAAAGATAACATAAATTATATATGAATCATTATATTTTTGGTAGTTTCACGGTTAATCACTATTATTTTAATTTTAGAAATCAAATTCTACAACTTTAAGACCCGATGTAATCGATTTTCTTCGTTAATGAATAAACAACTCAAAAGGTAGTAATAGCTAAAAAGCTAGATGGAAGCCAACAAGCTAATTTTTAAAAAAAATAACATCTCGCAAAAACTAACCGAATAATATAATTGTCACATATAAAACGGCGTAAAAAGATATGCATAAGATAATTGTTAAAAAATAATGTCTCAGACTTGTCACCGATTACTCTTTAATATGAATATAATTAATTCATAGGTGGTATGCGACCGACTAGGCGGTGTTTAGCATTTAATCACTGCCTAGAAAATTAGTGAATTTTGAAGCCAATAAATTTTTACATCTTAAAGAAATTCTAACTTAATAAAAAAACTATTTGAAGAAATATTAGTGTTATATTAATCATATTAACTTATTTTGTTATGATATTAATGGTATTTACCTACTTTGTATGACATTAGTTATATTTATTTATTTTAAATTTAACTGATTTGCAATTTAAAGTTCTTGACTAGTTGCCGACTAATCTTTAATCGCTTATAAACCGACTTAGTATCAAATAACGACTTTTACAATCTTGATAAATGTTTTATTTTGTAGAATTTAAAAAGAAAAAACTTCAAAAGCTCATTGGAACACTATTTTGAGTAGCTTCTAAAAAAGTTAGTTGATAAAAAACTCTTTTGTTTACCATGACAATCCAAAAAGTTAAAAAAAATAAACCAGCTTATAAGGGTGGAGGGAGTTCATCCCTCCCGACCTACATGTCAACTAGGTGTCACATCGGCATTTCTCTCTACTCTCAATTCTATCTCTCTCAACCCACAACACATGGAATTCAACCCATCATTTAGTATAATTTTAATGCATGGTCTACACATGTATGGAATAAACAATATGGGTTGAAGAGAGGGTTATATAACTTACACATCCCGCATATTTAGCGGTACCACATACCAAGAAATGGTGTTCGTGGAGGTATCAATGGTATATCCCCCATCTAGAGCTTTACCCTACTCGACTTCGAGTACGGGATCCCAATTCCTGTAAGTTATAACCAGAGTCTCTTGTAGGGAGAGCGTGATAATTGTGTATAGATTTATATTGGGATTGACACCCCACACCTCGCTGCTAGCTACAGCCGGACCGGCAGGTCTGCGGGTGACAAGAGTCATAGTATCTTAACGTCTGAAAAACATTGTGCAGGTTATTTCTCGTCATAGTATGGTTATAGCGACTCACATAGGTAGTTAACAATCTTTCAAGTTTACATGGAAAATTCTACTTTAAAAAGGGGTTTTACTTCTAAACTAAACGAGTTTATGTCGATTTAAACTTGCATGAATTACTTTAAGTATGGTAAAATACTTGTTTATTCTCGGTCCTGGGATTTAGGACTACATAACTTTTATAAGGAAAATATTGGATTTTCTTTGGAAACACATTACTAGTATGAACATTATAAGTACAAATCACACACACACACATTCTCGGTCCTGGGATTTAGGACTACATGACTTTAATAAAGAAAATATTGGATTTTCTGGAAACATACTCTATCACTTTTACAAGGAAAACGGTTTCTTTCTCAAACAAAACTCTTATGAACTCACCAACTTAATTGTTGACACTTTTTCAAAACTACTTGTATTCTCAGGAAATCAGTGAAACAGGAAAACCAACAGCATTTTGCGGATGGGACGATAAATCGTCAAACAGTTCATTTTGTCATCATAATGTAATTGATTTTGAAACATGTAAACTTATTCTATGGTGTAACCTTTTCAATTATATTTATGATGGTTGTATTTACTTTGAGCACTATTATACTCGTTGTTGTGATACTTTACATGAAGTCCTCCACCCCCGAACGTTTCCGCCATCCTAGGTTTGGGGGTGTGACAGATTGGTATCAGAGCATTGTTTATAGTGAACTAAGTATATCGAACCACATAAGATATACAAACTATAAATGCATTGGGACTAAGGTCTCTGATTTAACATTTTCAAATAACTATACTTTTAGAAATAAATAGTTTCTTGTTAAAAGTATACATGCATGCATACATACTAAGGTCAACATCATACTAGAACAAAACAAAAGTGGTGATTGTTGAATGGCACAAGTAGGCTTGGGGATATATGGTCAGGTCTGGGAATGACATAGCCTGATCAACTATGTCTAACCCAGAAGTGATTAGCATATGCCCGGGAATGGTTGTGGCGTTGCAACAAGTCTAAAAACTTACCAATTCTATCTAAAAACAAACATTGAAAAACATAAGTCAAACATTAAAATACTATAGGAGTATTTGGTGATACTATAACCAACTTATGTGAAAACTAAAGATCCCTATTAGTAGGTCTATAATGACTGAGTGCATACGCTAAGGTTATATATAATTAAAGATATTATAGACTCAGAATCTATGACTATTTCTTTATTTCTTGTTCCTTGTTTGGTTGTGGACTTAGAGTATAGTCATTTATTCGAAGGTCTATTCTATCTAAGATTATGTATAACTGGTATGCACTATGTGATTATAGACGTGACCAATAAGGATCACCCCCTATAAGTAATTATAGGATTAGACGTCTATTAATTATCTCTTCTACCCCTCCTATTCTCGCATGTATAACATAGCAAGATCCTAATTACCAGGCGACCCATACTTTCCCAACCAGGGAAATAGTGGATGGTTATCAGAAGAATCAGAAGCGGAACCGGAGGTAATCAACCCTCCATGCATAGCCAGGGTTCCCGCGAACCGTTTCGACTACATCGGACCTGTGCCCCGTTGGGCAACCGTGATCGAGGGTTGGAGTCGACAGCAATGACAGCAATTACCATGTGGAGACCAACGAGGTTGCTATGACCTCAACCACGGGGGACCGACTGACAGAGCCCTCCCGGCGAAGACCCGGCAGATCGCGAACATCGGGGATTACAACAGGGAGACTGCAAACAGAGTTTAGAAACTGCGCGCTATTACAGACCCTACCATCTTAAATACCCGAGACTTAGAAAAAGACTGTTTATTTCAGAGACAAACTTTCTTTTTAGGACCTTATCGCCGCTCGGGCAGAGGCAAAAAAGTAACAGGATAGACACACGACATTCAAAGAGAGAATGGTTGCAGCCAAGCGTCGATTGGCAGAGCTGCAAGGTGCATCGACTTTGCCTCAGGCATCGCAAGGGACGGATCGTCGCGAGTAGAGTTCATACTGCTCACAAGACCTTGTAGATTAGGTTCATGAGTATGCGTTGGTGCTACTCTATTCTATGTGTAAGCTCAACACTGCGACTTTAGCGGTTATACTAATCGGGGGATCTATTTGCTGTCAAAACTTTTCCTTGCATGGATGTGAGGTAGACCTGCATCGAAGTCAAAATTTTCTCTGAAACCATAATTACTAGAATCATATTAACAAGATGGGCTTAGGACATACCTAATGGACTCGAAGGTCTATTTATTCTATTTTATATAACTAAGCATACATCAATTGGTCGTAAGAAGGACCTAGCTTGGATCAAATTACAAGGTTTCACTTGGATACAGAACTACTAAAATACATGAGTTTATCATATATAGACTCTCGTTATGAACTATTTTCAGAACACCATAAACAACCGAAATACGTTACAAATTGAACTAAGATAAACTTAGTTAGAAAACTCGCGACATATAGCCATTCTTAAAACTCATTATCGTCTCACCTTTAAACATTTTGGTTGAAAGGTGCTTTCTTCGTAGACCCATAGGGTGCGATCATACCAGCACTAATGCACCGGATCCCATCAGAACTCCTCAGCTAAGTGTGTTGGGCAAGGTCAGTAACTAGGATGAGTAAATTTAACATTTGTACAAAGCCTACTTCTACCCATTTCCGTAACTCCATCTCAGGAGTGTTTAGCAGAAACACTAAGAATAGTACAACAATGTGCAAAATTTATATATATGAATATAAATCGTAAGAATGCACTTGAGATAATCACCCCCACTCACGAAGTCGTTTTTCGTCATGAAACAGAACTATGTCTTCACCAACAGGCAACCAACCAACTAGCAAGGCGCCAACCCTACAGATAGACTCTGCTACTTTTCAAGCTGCAGTCACGGCAGCCATGACAGCCGTCATGGTGCAACTCAATGCTAACAACGCCAGCAGGGGTGAAGGTGGTGTTGGAAATTCTAACTGTAGTAATAATAACGAACGCCAACGGGTGTCTACCAACGAAGACGCCTCAGACCACAAACCCAAGAGCAAGAAACGAAAGTTTTGGGACAAAAAGAAGCACAACCTATCTCAAAGATTCGTTAAAAGACGACAACCCATGGCCACCCCTGCCATTACAACAGCAGTCACGACACATGCCTCGGCACTAGCCACAAGGTCTGTCACCCAAGCACCGGTCAAACCATATAAGGGATCACTCCCAAAGTGTAACAAGTGTGGCTTCCATCATTATGGGGTTTGTCGGGTGATGCACTGTAAAAACTGCAACAAGAACGGACATACTTCCCGCTTCTGCAGGACCCAGACCCAACGCATCGCTTCAATCCCCAATACTAGTGTAAGTCCAGTATGCCACCTATGCGGTGGAATGGGACACTTCAAGAGAGACTGTCCAACTGAGAAGAATGACGAGGGAGCAGGAGGAGTGTGATGAACAAAATAGCAGGAGAAACAAGAAAACCTTATTAGGACTTTTGTAATGTTTCCAACAAACAAAAACGTTTAAGTACCATATGTTTGTAATGAATTTGGTATGCTTACTAAAATTTTCGTCTTTCAAAAATTAGTTAAAATACTCTCTCGTTCAAATCAAATCAAAAACACTCATATATGACCTTAGGATCATTACCGGTGAGTCGTGACGACTTTGTGCCTACATCAGGGTTAATTATAATCAAGTACTAAAGACTTAAAGCAAATAATTCCATCCTGACTCCTGTTCCATGTCTAGTAGTGGGATTAGGGTGGAGCCACCCACTCGACGATTTCACCAATATCAAATTACATGCGACTTACATATACCGCTCGATCATAGAATGACCTGTCAGGGATCATGATATCAAGTATCATTACTAGCTATCAGAACCAACTCACTACTAGTGCTAGCTGCTGTAGTATGAATCATCTGCGGTAATAATAACATCGAACAAAACGGAACACACTGAAAGGAAACACAAGATACTCTATCACTCTAATCAGCATTTCTTGCGAATACAGCTTAACACATGTTTTACCTAAAAAGATACTGTTGTCGTCATTCGATTTCGATTGATATAGTCCTCACTTTCCCGACTAAACAGCTACGAAAAGACCTTTCACCTAATCTCAAAAACCTTCGTCTCTCATAAACACAAATCCGACATGGACCTCCGGGCCATCTCTCGCTGCGAAACCCTAAAACACTCACCAGAGGAGTATTATACCTTCCGAAACCTTACCACAAGTATTTCCAGAAGACCCTTCGGGAATGTCACGCATGCAACATATAAGGTTCAAGCACAGAAGCTTGGGACGGATACGGTTAGTCTACCACTACTACGTGTATACGCGAGGATAATGTATAATTAAGATTCTACGGACATTGGATGTGTGCTTCTGCCCTATTTCCTGTTCCTTGTCTGGTTGTGGACTTGGGGCAGAGTCACCCATCTAACTGTCTTACCAACCTTAAGTACATACGACCTATATGCGCAAGTTAATGATAGATGGACCAGGTACGAGTCCTGCCATGAACTTTGGGACCAGGTCATCCAGGAGTGCGAGTGAACGCCCTATCATCCGAATAAGACTAGTCGTGTAAACCGAACCCATATGTTCCCTACCGATCTAATCAAACGAGAAACACTAAAGCAGGCCCTATGCAGCGCTCCGAGGAGAAGTTACCACTTCTGACTTAGTACAAATTCGAGAAAGGTTGAAAGCATCTCGGGAACACGGCGAAACTCGAATAAGTCTTATCATCTATATAAAAACACAGGGTTT